GTCTGCCGCTCAGCTGTGGCTGCCCACACGGCCCACACCTTCGCTCCTTGCCAGTTCCTGGCAAAGACTGGGTGACCCCGAAAGAGGTCAAAATGGGGAAGTGGGTAGAAATCTTCTCTGAGTGGGGTGAGGACGTGAGAGGAGGACGGAGAGGCCCTCCAGGAAAGGGGGGAAGATTGGGAGCTGCTGTCTGAAAGGCCCAGGTCCCCAGGGCAGTGTGGTAGAATGCTCTGGAATCTGCTGAGCTTGGGTTGAAACCCTCACTCTATTGACCTACTCCTGGGGTGGCCGTGGGCGTATGTGTGACTCCATGTCCTTGAGCCTCTGCTTCCCTCTCCGTGAAATGGCTGATACACCGGAGGCGGGAGGCTGTGTGCACGCTTAGTGCTGGGGCGGCAGCTGCCACCGCACGGCTGTTCCCCCGGAGCGCTAGGACAGGCCTGTTGCATTTGTGCGGAGGTGCAGAATCCTAACCAAGAAATGAGCCAGAGAGATGCTTCTCGCAGGCTCTGAAGTAACTCGGGAAATGCGGGAGTGGAGGGGTTTGGAGGCTGCAGTCGGAACGTGGGGCTCTCAGATCCCTGCCCCCAACCTCCCTCCCAGGCTCAGACTGTGTCCCTGCAGTGTAGAGGGAGCCATGGGGCAGTGGGAGCTTAGGGTGACGACTGTGATCGAGTCCGGGAGCCAGTGCGAGGGTTTGTGACTGTGAGACCCAGAGCGGGTGGTCAAGTGTCCAGGGACGTGTGAGAAGAGGCCAAGCCAGGGAGGGGCGGATGGGCCGATTCGAGGCTTGTGCTCACGCGTCCGTTCTGGGCAGAAGAAAACTGTTCAAGTGCTCCTGAGAATTTCTCCAAGGGGAATTCCAGCGGGGACAGCTGAGGGACTCTTGGCCCCTTCTCGGGTCCTTCGACCCCCTCTGGCCGGGTTTCCCCCAGCCCTGGGCACAGTATCTGCCACCCGAGGGCAGATGAAGGCACAGGGAGAGTGACCTGGGGCAGGTCACATAGCTGGGCAGAGCCCAGCACGTAAAGGCGCTTGACAAACGCTTGTTCACAAAGGAAGGGTGGGAGCTCACGCAACTGCCCTCGGACTGTTTATCTGGCCATGTGGCGGGTGGAGGAGAGGTCATCAGGCGACCCTGAGTCTTGGAAGGGGTCAAGAACCATTGTTTGGGGCTTTTAAAAGCCTCTGTTGAGATTCTGCAGCAGAGACGGTTTCTGGACGCTGGAAGCCGTCTCTGATGTGCAGTGTAAAGAAACTGGCTCCCCATGGGACTGACGGATGTTTCTGCTGCACAGAAATGGTCCCCCGTGCGCAGGAGCAGGGAGAAAGTCCTGCAGGGTTTAGAAGAAGAATACGTGTACAGCTGTCAGGTGCCAGAGGCTGTTCCAAGCGTCTCCCTCCATGCAACAACCCACTTAATGGTCACACAACCCTATGGGGTCGGGGCCCTTATCGTTCCCATCTGATGGATGGGGAAACTGAGGCCCGGAGAAGTGAAGGGAGCACCTGTGGTCACACAGCTTGATGGGGCAGAGCTGGGATGTGATGCCCGTGGCATCCTTGGGACAGTGGAGTTCATGGGCAACCCCCTCCACCCCCCACAGGCTTCCACCTGAACAACCAGCTGACCCAGGCCCTCACCAGCCGCTACCGGGACAGCCGTCTACGTGTGGACTTCGAGCGATTCGTGTGCTGTGCAGCCCAGCTCACCTGCATCTTCCGTGAGTGCCACCTCGACACCGTGGGGGCACAGGGAGGCTGTCTCCCGCGGCTGGTGGAGGTGGGCACTCACCCTGCCCCTCTCTGAACAGGCCACTGCAGCCAGCACCTGGATGGGGGTGAAGGGGTCATCTGCTTGACCCACAGACAGGTGAGCCCCAGCTGGAGGGATAGGGTGGCTCAGGCACGATCCTGGGAGCCCCCTGCCTCAAGCCTGCTGTCTCCCTTCTCTCGCCCAGTGGATGGAGGTGGCCACCTTCTCCTAGGACCCCAGGAAGGGTCCCCTGCAGCTCAGGGCTGGGGTGCTGCGCAAGATGGCCCTGCACCACCCTGCCCGGCACCAGGTGAAGCTCTGGGGCCAGCCTGCCTTGGGGCTGGCTTCCGGCTGTGCTTGCCTCACCTGGACTCGGGACGGCAGCGGCACTTTTCTTGTGCCGGCCCCAGAGAGGGTCCCCAATGGCACCTTCTCATTTTGCCACAGTCACGGGAGCAGGGATCATGGCCCCACCTGGTTCTGGGAAGATGTGTGTTCTGCCCTTGCTCTCCGAGAAGTAGGGAATGGAGAGAGGACAGAGAAAGAGGACAACTGTGGGAATCCTTAAAAATATTACATGTTTTATTATCCTGTCCCCAGAGGGTGGTTTATCCAGAAACCAAGAAAAAAAAAAAAAATCAGAATAAACTCAAAACGGGGAGGGGGAACAAAACCATCCACTCCCAGGCAGCCAGGCCTGCTGCCCACCTCCAGCTCAGAGGGTCCCCAGAGACCCAAGCCCAACGGCAAACACAGGGAAATCGGGAAGGGGCAGCAGATCAGCTATGTCTTCATTACGAGAGCAAGAGACGGCAGCGAGATGTTGCTAGGTGAATATATATTTATATAATAAATCCGTAAGTTAATAAAGTAAATAGTAATTCTCTGAA